CAAAGGAGTAATTCATTTCAAACTCCTCAATCCATAGCAAACTCTCAATGCACAGATCTATAGTCAGCAACTGAAACGTTTATTTCAAACCCTTAATCAGAAACGCCCTTCACTCGTTAATCGGAAAAGTGTTCTTCTTCTTCACAACATTGCACGTCCACGTGTGGCACGTTTGACGCAACACACGATTATAGAGTTGGGCTGGGAAGTTCTCCCCCACCTACCATATTCTCCAGATATGGCACCATTAGATTACCATCTTTTTCGTTCGCTACAACACAATTTTAATGGGAAAACGTATGCAAGTATGGAAGTGTTAAAGAGGACATCGACATGCATGTCATCCTCCCTTGAAAATGTACGAAATTAAATGTAAAATACTCTCTATAAAATCGTTATTGCTCAAACAGACCATAATTTTTATAGCCTTCAATTTTGTTTGGTTACAGAGCTATCAAAGAGCAAATCAGACCCCTCCTGCCACACCCACCCATCACATCCTCTCTTTCTCAATTCATTGATAGTTCTCTCTTACGTTTCATTATATATTACCTATAACCAACAGAAATTCAAGGTTTTCATCTATCAAATGGCGTATTGTATAACATTGTGTTCTGAACAGATAACCGTCAATTTCACTCTGAATATCAACATCGTTCCCGTGGGAAAGTTAACGACTAGCTTGGATGAATTTGTATCAGGATTTTTTTGACATTGCCTTGTAAAGTAAAGGGTACCCAGGATGATAGGGTTAATACACTTAGTGTAAATTCTGGAGGAGTAGTCAATTTATAGTAATTCAACTCTCACAAAACCAGTACTATTTTTTTATGTCTAACTCTACTGTGATATATTTTGAAAAAGCATTCTGTGTTCAAATGTAATTGATATATAATCTAGGCCAGCAATAGCTAATAACTTCGAACAATTTTCAACAATTCTACACTCGTAAAATAATACAATTAAATTTTAATTCAGATTTGACAAGAACGAAAAACCTTACTTGTGTTTTAGAATCTGGCCCAGCCCACCAGAAAATTCCATTTCTTCTCAGTTCTGCCAATTTAGCATTGAGTTTATGTGCTAAAACTACAGTTAATGGCATGCATTCTTCAGTTTCATCAGTAGCATAACCAAACATCAATCCCTGAAAGAAAAAAATATCTTCATTTAGAGAAATTTCATTTGCAACATGTAATATTCAACTTTTTTTACACTTACATGCAGAAATAATGTGAGCAGGGGGTAATACAGGCTAAATTTGGGTGCAAAATTTTTGCCCCCCAAATTTGAAAAATCATGTCATGAAAAAGATAGGTCAGAAACCAAAACAATATAAAGTAAAAATTATAATAAAAACAAAAATTTTGCTTAACTTTTTCTCTATATTATGTCTTTTGATATTTTGCCTTAGCGCACAACCCAGTTTAGTAGATACACATAAATATAACATAATACATAAAAGTATCTATTATTACTTTTGTATTAAAAGTATTCATTAGTTGTTGTTTTTTTCCCACTTTGAGTCTCCCCCTAAAACCTTCAGCTCAAATTTGTGGTTAGTTTCTGCTTTTCAGAAACTTGCCTCACTTGTGCTTGATTACCACCATTCAAAATAATTTTCTGTATTACCCTCTGGTGAGCCTTAAAGTTTTATTTACTTAGTTAAACCAAATGTCAGGAATTGCTTTAGTGGAAAAAAACAAAAACTAGCTTTCTGCACATGCACACAGCATAACTTAATATTGGTTTCAGTTTCAGCTTGAAATACAGATATTGTAAAAACTTAACTATAATAGAATGTAGCAAAAAATACTTGTGTAATATATACTGCATAATACTACTATAAGAATTTATTTCAAACCAGTACACAAACAAAAACTGTGTGTATATTGCAGCTATCCATTATATTTAGCTGGTAAGGTGCTATTTCCACATACAGTTTATGTATTAATACAACAAGTAAGCAAGCAAATACTCATCCACACACACTCTCAATAGACAGTACTCTGATACAGTTATTTTAATTATAAGTTGTAGAGTAAGAAAACACCATAGATCACCAGTAAGCTATAAAAGTTCCAAAAATATTCCTGAATCTACAAAACTAGTTAACTATAATTACCAGTTTTTCCCGTCCAAAAGAAGCTCACAGTCAAAAACAGTTTTGTTTCAGTTATTTATGCCAAGTTATAAAAGGGCTATCTACACTAGTTATCTCATATTTTGAACAGATACACTTAGTCAACAGCATCCACTTCCAACTCTTGGGCTACTCGAACAGTGGAATTTAACCATCACTCTTCTATTGCTCCCACAACCTCAAAGTGTAGTGCACAATTTTGCTGCAACAGGATGCAAACCATGGATCTTCAAATTCACAATCCAGAAAGCTAACCACTAGGCTATGCCTAGTCCATAAAGAAAAAAGCATCCTTCAAAAGTGTTCATCATCTGGTCTTGTTTTTGTATCTTATAGTATTTTGTTGTCAATGTATACACGGTTTATACTTCTCCTATCTTAGTATAATCTATGGCTTGACAGTGCCAGTATGAATATAGTATTAGAGCATCAAGAAATTAACGTTGCTTCTTTTTAGATTAAAAACCTCGAACAATTTATATATGAAAAGAAAACATATATTAAATAAAATAGTCTCTATTCTTATCGATGATGCTTTTCCATCTTACAATAAGATTGTTAATGCCCTGATTACAGAAATCACTTGGCTTTGAAGCAAAATACCTAAGACAAAATGTGTCGTGTGTTACACTAGTGGAAATTCAGGATTTTTTTGTATATTTCCTTTTAGAGTTAAGAACTTAAAACTTGTATACTATTAAAATATGGATTATTAGCTAAGA